TTTGTTGGAAGACTTTTGATAGCTTCCTGTATCTCATTATAGGATATTGGCTTATTTAATTGGTTAACTTCTTCTTTGCTCAGTTTGGGTAACTTGTATTTCTCTAAAAATGCATCCATTTCCGCCAGATTTTCTTCCTTTAGAGAGTATAGCTTTTGAAAGTAGTCTGTTAGAATTGTTTGGATATCTTGGGTACGTGTTGTGATGTTTCCCGTGGCATCCCTAATCCTATTAATATGGGTTTCCTCTCTTCTTTTTTTAATTAATCTTGCCAACGGGCCATCAATTTTGTTTATTTTTTCAAAGAACCAGCTTTTTGTTTGGTTTATTTTGGTTATGGTTTTCTGATTTTCTAATTGGTTAATCTCTGCTCTCAATTTGGTTATCTGGCTTCGTCTAGTAGCTTTAGGTCCCATTTTTTCTTGTTTTTCTAGCTGTTTTAGTTGCAACATGAGATTATTTACTTGGTCTGTCTCCATTCTCTTGATGTGGGCACTGAGGGCAATAAATTTGCCCCTCAGGACTGCTTTTGCTGTGTCCCACAAGTTTCTTTGTGAGGTGTTTTCATTTTCATTGAGTTCTAGGAAATGCTTTATTTCTTCTCTGATCTCTTCTGTTACCCAGGCCTTGTTAAGGAGTGTGCTGTTCAATTTCCATGTATTAGAGAAATTTCTGCGGTATGCTTTGTTATTGAGAGCTAGCTTGATTCCACTGTGGTCAGATAGGATACAGGGGATTATGTCGATCCCTTTGTATTTGCTTAAGTTCCTTGAATGAACTATGATATGGTCTATTTTGGAGAAAGTTCCATGAGCTGCTGAGAAGAATGTGTACTGTGTTGTTTTAGGGTGAAATACTCGGTAGATGTCAGTTAATTCCGCTTGAAGTATGGCCTCACTTAATTCGGTAGCTTCTTTGCCAATCCTCTGGTTGGTAGACCTGTCCTTTGGTGAGAGTGGCGTGTTAAAGTCTCCTAGTATTATCGTATTGGGATCTATTTTATTCTGTAAGTTTGAGAGCATTTGTTTAACATATCTGGGTGCACTGATATTTGGGGCATATAAGTTGATGATGGTTATATCCTCCTCTTGGATTGTTCCCTTTATTAATATGTAATGTCCGTCCTTGTCTTTCTGTACTGATTTTAATGAAAAGTTTATTTTGTCAGATATCAGGATAGCTACACCTGCTTTCTTATTGGGGGAATTTGATTGGTAGATCCTTTTCCACCCCTTCACTCTGAGTTTGTTTGTATGTTTGGCTGAGAGGTGGGTCTCCTGAAGGCAACAGATGGATGGGTCTTGTTTTCTGATCCAGTCCTCAGTTCGTTTTCTTTTAATTGGCGAATTCAGCCCATTTATATTAAGAGAAAGTATAGAGAGATGCATTGTTGTCCCTGCCATTCCGTTTTCCTAAGTTTTTCTTCTTTCCTTTCCTCCTGTGCTTGCTCAGTTAGACTTTGAGTAATGCCTGTTTGGGGCAGGTCCCAGTTCCTGGTTGCTTTCTTCAGGTTGTGTCCCCCCTCTTAGAATTCTTTGTAATGCTGGCTTAATGTTTATGTATTCATTTAGTTTTTCTTTGCTATTAAAAGTTTTCAGTTCTCCATCGAATGTGAATGCTAGCTTTGCCGGGTATATCAGTCTGGGTTGGCAGTTATTGGCTCTCAGGGCTCGTATGGTGCTTTCCCAGGCTTTTCTTGCATTCATTGTTTGTGTGGAGAGATCTGCAGTGATTCTAATTTTTTTCCCGTTGTAGTATAGCTCCTTCTTCATTTTTGCTGCATGCAGGATTGTTTCCTTATTATTCAGATCCATCATTGTTACTATTATGTGCCTAGAAGTGTTTCTCCTGGGATCTTGCTTGTTGGGTGTTCGATAAGCTTTTGTGATGTAGTTAAGATGGTCGTTTTTGAGGTGGGGAAAATTTTCATTGACTATCTTGTTAAATAGGTGTTGCATTCCCTTGCTCTGGAATTCCTCACCTTCGTCCACTCCGATTATGCGAAGGTTAAATTTTTTAGCATTATCTGCTTGCTCTTGAATTTCCCTTTGGTTTAATTTGAGTGATTTTTCCATATCTGTCACTTTTTGGTCCAGTTGGTGTATTCTGTCTTCTGTATCTGACACTCTACCTTCCATTTCATTCACTCTGTTGACCGTGGCTTCTATTGTGGTTTGCATGGTGGAAATGGATCCCTTTTTGGATTCAATGTTGGTTCTCAGAGTACTGATCTCACCTCTCAATGAGGTGATATCAGTATGCATTACCTCTAATTTGGCGTTTATCTCACTTCTTACTGAGGTTTGTGCAGCTTCTATTTTTGCATCCAATTTTTGTTTGATATCCTGTATATCTTTTGATAGTTCATCCTTGTGCTCTTTCAATTTCTGATCCATTTCTCGCTTTATTTCTTGAGTCATTGCCTCCAGCAACCCTTGGATGTAGTTTTTGTCTTCCATTCCTGCTTTGCTCCCACTGGGGCTCTCCCCTGCGTGGCTGCTGGCTTTTGAGGTGAGCTTGCTGTCCTGGGTAGTGGTAAACCTTGTGATTTTTCTCTGTGATTTTCGCATGGGGGTTCAGGAGACTGCTCTTCAATCTTGTTTTGGTGTGTCTGTCTTTGCTTGGTTGCTGATTCTCTATTGGTAGAGAGAGTCTGTGTCTGATCTGGATTCTGTTGGGAGCCTATTTCCAGCTGCTATTCACTTAGGATTCTCAGCTCTCTGCTGTAGCAATTCCCGCCTTTGGAAGGGTTGAGCAGCCTAGACTGCTTGTGTTTGCTCCTGCGGGTGCTCTTGGGAAGATCAGATGCTCTGGATGCACTCTCCCAAATACTGGAGTCTGCTATGGGCTCCTGATGTGTTTTTGTTTGTTTGTTTTGGGCTGGTTGTGGGCTTGAACTCTAGGTTTGGGTGCTGTCCCTCAGCTCTTCAGCTCAGGGCTGGCACCCTACCATTTGAGCCACAGCCCCACTTCTGACCCTTTTTGCTTTGTTCAGGCGCCGGTCCCCTGGCCTGGTTCCGGCCCCAGCCTGGAGCGCGCACGTTAGGCCTGTGCTAATGTGTATACCACCTTGGTTATGCAGCCTGGAGGACACAGTTCAAATTTCTTCTACTGTTGGTAGTCTTGACCCAGGGGCACTGTTCCTGGCTTGAGCATTTAAGCTCCCTTCCCGGGGCGCTCTTGCTCTGGCCTGGCCAGCAGAGTGTGCTCCACCGGCTGGTGGGGCTCTCGAACAGTTCCCAGTTTTAGTGGGTCCTGTGGTCCGGGTGTTGGGGTAGGGAGTCTAGGTCAGGGTCTGGGGATTCCCTCCAGCTCTGGTCTCCCTTGATGGATTCCCTGTCCCCTGATGGGTACTCACCCTGTAGGTCGTCAGTTGTTGTTGCAGTCCGTCAGTTGTTGTTGCAGTCCGAGTTCAGTTGGGGTGGTTGCGGGCTGGGTTGGGCGGCCCCCCGCCGGGTCGTTGCGATCGCGATTGGGCGGGTGGTCTGCGGACAGGTCCCTTTGTGGCGCTGCTGGTGCCGGGCGGCTTTGGCGGGATGGAGCCTCTCCGCTCCGGTGGAGAGTGATGGGTGGGGTGGGATCCTCCTGGAGACTCCCGGCTGGTAGGTTTCTCTGTTCCTGGCGATCCGCTGTTCTGCAATCCGGTACCTGGTGATCTGCAAGCAGCCCCCTCTCAGCTAACCACTTTTGAGCAAACATGATGACAGAGATAGAGAACTTTATGTTCTCTTTCTGTTTCTGGACACACAACCTTTTTTCCACACACATACCAGCTTTAGCAGTCAAAACAATGAGTCAGTCTTAGAACTTTCCAAATTCGTTAGCACTAACTAGCTGTCCGCTCTGGGCACATGATTTTATTTTTCTTGGGGGCAGTTTCTGATTTTGTTCAGTAAGAATGGTACTAGCTGCCTGACTGAGTCGTGTGGGGAGCCAAGGAAGTAATCCATGGGAAGAATTTAGCATGTGTGAGATCCATAATGCTCTCCTTACTTTTATGACTTTTGTCAATCCCATAAAATGCATTTAGAAGCAATTTTCACTCCAGCTCAATCCTGGAAAATTAAAGAGATTCGGTTGCTACCTGCTGAAAATCCTTGCTTATTAGTGTCAAGGTAAAGGCCAGCTGTGTGTCCCCTCCCCCCACTTCCCTCCTCTCCCTCTCATGCAGATGGAGAAGCTGTGTGAATGGCCTCTAGGTTGCTGGGTTGCTGGGAATGAGTCCTTAGCAAATAGGACATTTTCTTGAGAGTTTAGGCAGAGCTCACAGCTTGCTCTCTCCAGATTTCTTGTTGCTATTCACTATTCGTTTTTCAGAACTAAGGTAACAATCTCAGATGTAGTCCAAAAAACCAGGGCAACTCTCAACAAAACTTTTTTGGGTACAGAATTTAAACTGGCCTTCTCTCAGGGTGGTTAGAAGGTCTTAACACTCAAGTTTTTTTCTTCCTATCTGCTATATCATGAGAAAGTTTGATTTTACTGCGGGGTTGGAGGGGGAAAAAATAAACTGTAAAGAAAGGGAAAGTTTAGAATGAGAAAGAGAAAAAGTTGGCCTGGTGGAATTTTATTAACCTCTCTTGAGATGCATGCCCAGGGTTTGAGGCCCATACTCCCGTGACTTTTTATTTGCTGCTTTTCTTTTTGGTGTTTTAATAGGTAATCGCAATAGGTAGCCCAGACCAGCCCCAAACTCACTATGGTGGCCCAGGCTGGCTTTGGATGTGTGATCCTCCTACCTCTGCCTGATGAGTGCTGGAATTACTGCTTCCAGGGAGTCTCAATGTAGAGGAGGCCTCAATCAAATGCTCTACCCACATGTCCAAAGCAAGGGTGGCTGGGCGGGGCAGGGGGGGGGCTTTTCAGGGTTTTATTGGGTTTTGCTTGCCCTTAATTGAGCTTCTGAATCAGGAGCCATGTCTCCCGAAGTTAAGTAACTCTGTCCTGTCTATCCCACCAGAGTCCTGTGTTCAAAACTTGAATCTAGGGCAGGAGGGGTGCCGGAGCACGGTTGTGGTTGGAGCAGGACTTGGTAATGAACCACTAGGACGGTGATCTGAGCTCTGGGCACAGTGCAGACACCTGAAGACCATGTCTTGCAGTGATGCAACGAGGGCGTTGGCTAGAGGTGAGTCCCCCGTCCCTGGGCTGGCGTGAGTGGGAGCATCAGAAAGGGAGGTTGATTATCTGACTTCAGCCTGTAGATTAGCAAAACAAGGAATGAGTTAGAGGGCTTCCCTGTACACACTATGTACAAAAGTGTCCTGCCTAGGACTTGGGAAGTGGAATGCTAGAATGCTGCTGGACTCTCTGGGAGGTGAATGAGACCCTCTCTCAATGGGGTTAACTCAGCCTCTCTGTCCCTACCCTTACAGGATCCTGTCCCCCGGGGCCAGTCCCAGAAGGTGTGATCCGAATTTACAGCATGAGGTTCTGTCCCTACTCCCACAGGACTCGCCTGGTCCTCAGGGCCAAAGGTATCAGGTGAGGAGTTGAAGTGCTGCTCTAGCAAGCCCAGGCTCCAGATTGTAGGAAAGGGTCTCATTTTCTTTCTTCCAAGGCCAAGTCAATAAATAACAAAGGATTTTTTTTCCCACCTCCTGAAATGCAGACCTCTTTTAAGAGTTGTATCTATCCATGAAGCTTTCATTGTGGAGAAAACTAAATGATGACATTGGTAAACTGCTTCCCTCCCTTGTTTAGGATGGTCACAGCCAAAGCTTCCGACCGCTTCTTCCAATAGAGACCCCTTTCCACCACCCTGGGCATCTTAACACAGCTCTGTCCTATTTTTTTTTCCATTGCTCTACTGCTCCCAACAGATGCTGATTAGTCCCCTGTCTTTCTCCTACACCTGTCCCCTCAACGTCCCATCCCCGCCCCCATACCACCCCCACTCCTGCCAAAAATATGAATTCTCCAAGGCAGGGACTTTTTCTGTTTTGTTCACAGACTAGGAGAGAGCATATGACCTAGGAGCTACTAAAAAAAATTGTTAGATGAATGAACCGTTCCAAACACTACAATACAGTAATATGCACTGCTGTCAAGAAGTGTCAGGAAGTTTCCAACATACCTGAGAAGTGAGCACAAAATTCCTTCCTTCCAGAAGGAACTGGAAGGCTAGCTCCTGCAGGTCTAGATTTCGAAAGCAGAACAGATTTGTTGGCATCTGGACTACAGAATACAACTGAGCTGAGATGGAATTACATTTGAGAATGTGTCATTGTGACTCTGGTCTTGGAGAGTTCATCATTAACAGTTGCTTCAGAGTCAGACTCATGTCAGAGAAGAGACACCACAATAGAGATATTTTAAATAAAACTATTTTAATTCTGCCTTGTTCAAATCTACTTGGCTGTGCGGTTGGTTACCAATTTTTTAAAGAGAAAAATAACAATAGCCCTATTTGGTTGACCATTAGGGACAAAGTAGCAGCTTAGGAACTGATGAGATTATTTCTTTAGCCCAGATAATTCTTTGGACCAGATAATTCTTTGTTGGGTGGGAAAGGGGCTGCCTGCACAATGTTTCAGATTTCCCAGTATGAAGTGGGTGAATTCTATGCTACCCCCAGCTGTGACCCAAAAAATGTCTCAAGACATTGTCATATCTTCCTTGGGTGGGGGGAGGGGAGATAACAGTCACTTGAAGTCCACTGCTTTTAAGACAATCGCTTAGATTAAGCAAAGAACCTATCTATTTGTTTCCTTTAGTCTTTTTAATCAGTGTGTATATGTGTGTCTCTAATAACTTGATAGACTTGAACCTCTAGCAATGATAATTATTAATGAGAATTGGCAAATATGGTATACTTACTACATTTGAATGTACTGCATAATCCCAAATACTTTACACACACTAACTTATTTGATTACCAAAAACATGCCAAGAGATAAGCACAATTATTGCCTCCCCCTTGCAATTAAGAACACTGTGTATGGAGACATAAAGCAATCTGCTAAAGTGTCAAACTAGACTGCCCAGCTGGATGTCAGAACCTGTGCTCAGAACTTAATATGTACCCTATTCTGAAGGCTGGGTATATGGCTCAAGTGATAGAGTACTTGCCTAACAAGAGTGAGGTCCTGAGTTCAAATTTGAGTACCTAGCATTAAAAAAGAAAAAGAAAAAAACATTTATCATATTTTTAGTGACTGGTAATGCTAGATTTGTATTTATATTGTTGTTATTATTCTTGTTTTTGAGACAGTCTTTCTTTGTATCCCAGTCTGGCCTCCAACTCCAGATCACATTTCCTCCCTTTCAAGAGTGCTAGGATTTTATGTACTACCATGCCTGGCTAGCTTTGTATTTCCAACCTTTAGGATGTCCTAATGCTCTAATGCCATTGTGACATGTCTGTCTGGGCCTGACTTTGGCTCTGCTGCTTCTCAGCAAAAAGTATTGGACATGGAAGGAATGACATGAACATAATAGAAAACAAGTCATAGAAAACATCTAACACCTCTTATTGCAGGAATGAAGACAATGATGCCATATATTCTACACAAAACTTAAACTTTAGGGAAAAAGCACTATAATTACAAGTTTTTCTTTCTTTCCTTCTTTCTTTCTTTCTTTCTTTCCTTTCTTTCTTTCTTTCTTTCTTTCTTTCTTTCTTTCTTTCTTTCTTTCTTTCTTTCTTTCTTTCTTTCTTTCTTTCTTTTTCTTTCTTTCTTTCTTGTGTTCCTAGGGCTTGAACACTGGGCCTGGGTACTATCCCTGAGCTTTGGTGCTCAAGGGTAATGCTCTACCACTTGATCCACCATATCACTTCTGTATTTCTCTGAGATTAGTTGGAGTCTCATGGACTTTTCTGCCCAGACAGGCTTTGAACCATGATCCTTAGACCTCAGCCTTCTGTAGCTAAGATACAGATGTGAACCACGGGCACCTGCCAGAAGTCTTAACTTTATCAATTGCCTGCTTTTGTTCTGAAGATGAGTATCCGTCTGCTTATATTCCCTTCTCATTTTTATTTCTTCGTTTCCTTGCTTCTTAAGGCATGAAATTGTCAATATTAACCTGAGAAACAAGCCTGACTGGTACTACACAAAACACCCTTTTGGCCAAGTTCCTGTGGTGGAGAACAGCAGTTGTCAGTTGGTCTATGAGTCGGCCATCGCGTGTGAATACCTAGATGACGCGTTCCCGGGAAGAAAGCTGTTTCCATATGACCCTTATGAACGAGCTCGCCAAAAGATGTTATTAGAGCTATTTGGTAAGGTATGTATAATCATAAAGATTCACTTACATTCCATTTTACTTGGTGTTTTTCCTAAACTTCCACCCATTCTGATGCCCCAAGAGTCTCAACAGAATAAGCTGGCAGAGGAGTAGAATAGGATATGACTACTCCAGCCAGGCTTGGAGGCCTAACAAACCGTTCCATGCTTTTCCATTTCATTAGCATTGATGGAAGGCGTGGTTAACCCCATGAAATGACCATGAGACTTGAAAGGGGAATGTTGCGAATACAGAGCTTCTTTAAAGGGAGTACTTTTCAGGCTTTTGATACAAAATATTGGAATGTGGAGATTGCGCACAGCGGGGAGATTGCCTTCCGGAAGCAGGGCAAGAGAACCAGCTCTTGAGGGAATATGAAGAACAGAGAAAAGGGGAGCAGTGATGGAAAAAGTGACAGAGAAACGTTAGAAAAGAAAATAACATGATGTTATTAATAGCTGACGCATACCGAGTGCTTAGGGTGTGCCCAGCACTGCCCTGAATTCTATCCAGAAGAGAACTCACTTCCTCCCATGGCTACCGTTTGACGTGGGACACTATTACCATATCCATTTTTCAGACGAGTACACGGAGGCTTAGAGAGGCTAAATGCCCTGACTATGAATGTACAGCCTAGAAGCAGCTAATCAAGGAAGAAGCGCCACAAACCCTTGTTTGCTGCAAGATGTAGCAGCACCTAGACAACCGTGTACCCACCCAGGAAGGTGGGCGTCTGTGTGTGCGTGCTGGCTTGTTAGACTGGAGGCATAAAGCTCTTCACATCTCTAGGCAGAGCAGGATCATGGAATCCCCACAGACGTCTCTACTAAGCACCCATGTCTTTGATTAGGTCCCACATTTGACCAAGGAGTGTCTGGTGGCCTTGAGGTGCGGGAGAGAATGTGCCGAGCTGAAGGGAGCCCTGCGACAGGAATTCTGCAACCTGGAAGAGGTACAGAAAGGGGGCTCCCCTTCTCTTGTTGGGTGGAAGGGACGGAGCCGTGCAGGGTTTCTAACTTATGGTCACTCTCACACCTGCTCTCAGAGCATAATCCTTCTGCTTTGGGGATTTTGGAAGATCTGGCAAAGAGGGGGAACTGGACCTGAAATGAATGTTGCTTCTTCCCAGTTATCACCTTCCCTAATTATCTTTGTGTGGCTTCTGTAGCTTTTGTCCACAAGGCTTGAGTGACTGGTGAAGGGCCTTGTGGGATCTAACTGCTGGAAATTTCTCTTCTAAGGGCTTAATTTCTCCTGTAGGAAAGGACAGAGGTGGGCAGCTCAGGGGCTTTCTTTGATGGCTTTCTTGTGAAGTTACCCAAGACTGAGGCTTTTTCCCTATGGGTTCTGTCATCTTTGGTACACAGTTAGTATCCTTAAAATGACAAAATAGGGCTGGGGGTATGGCACAAGTGGTGGAGTACCTGCCTATTATACCCTAAATTCAAACCTAGTACTCCCTCTCTCCCCCCCAAGGAAAAAAAAGACAGCATAGATTCTGGAACTGTAGCCACCGAGCTATGATTGTGGAAAGAACAGAACAAAACCTGACCAGAATTTAGTTGTAGAGCCGTACTATCTGCAGAGAAGGTTGGGAAATTTGTTTGCTAGTTGGGACACCCTGAATAAAATCAGCTTGTGAGGTGGAGAGGAGGTCACCTGGTTCTTGACCAACATGGTAGTAATAGGAACTTACTTACTCCTTACTCTGGAACTATCTGGGAAAGATCTTGGACTTACTTTATCTTTGTTCTAGAAACTGATAAATTGCTTTTTTGTATAGATTGTTGTCCCTCCCTTGGAAGCTGGTAAGATTAGGATGATAATCAGTAGATTGGTGGGTAGTATACATTTCACAACTCTTTGAAAAAAAAAAAGGTGTTGGGTATTTTTTTTTTTTTTTTTGCCAGTTGTGGGGCTTGAACTCTGGACCTAGGTGCTGTCCCTGAGCTCAAGGAAAGCACTCTGTCACTTAAGCTACAGCACCACTCCCAGTTTTCTGGTGGTTAATTGGAGATAGGAGTCTCATGGACTTTTCTGCCAGGGCTGGCTTTGAACTGTGATCCTTAGATCTCAGCCTCCTGAGTAGTTAGAATTACAGGCTCCAGGTGTGAGCCACTGGCACCTGGCTGTTTTCCTGTTTGTTTGTTTTTGCTTTTGTTTTTGTTTTTAAATAAAGAGTCTTGAGCCAGGCATTGGTGGCTTATGCCTATAACCCTAGCTACTCCACAGGCTGGGATCTGAGGATCATGGTTTGAAGCCAACCTGGACAGGAAAGTCTGTGAGATTCTTATCTCTAATAAGCTACTCAGAAAAAGCCGAAAGTGGTGCCATGGCTCAGGTGGTAGAACACTAGCCCTGAAGAGAGGCTGAAGGGCAGCACGCAGGCCCTGGGTTTAAGCCCCAGGACTGGCAAAAAAAAGTCTTAATTTGTAGTTTGTGGGTTTCAGTGGTATATGATCTTCCACCAACACTGGTTTTCGGTTGCCAACCTGCTATCTCTAAACTCAGAGATGTGGACCATGGGTCATATTCTGCACAGGAATTAATAGCACATTTCACCATTTCCGTTAACAGAGGCCCAGGGACCCCTCTGTTAACCTGCCCAGGTTTGGATAGCCATCACAGATGCCATTTAGGCATTATTGAATATTAGGCATTGTCCCAACAGGTTTCAATGTGGCTTTGTCCCATAGATGTAACCAAGAGTGTTAACTCTTTGCTAATATGTACTCAACATCAGAAATCATACCCATGGACTTGAATTATTGATTATGTGAATACCAATATACTGACTCTAGAAGGTTCTAGTGAAATTGAAACTTAAATAACTCTTTCACTGGGTTTCATACAATCAGGATTTTATCTGAGCTAAAAGCACATTGTATCATGTGGTCCCACTGAAACCAAGATTCCAATGCATGAGTTGCCATATTATAGCTGAGCAAAAGGCTCAGTTTACATTTTGTAGGCTTAAACTTGGATACTTTTTTTCCCTTTTGAAAATAAGTGTCCTAATGGACTTCTGACTTTTTTTCTTTTAAAATTCAGTTTCATTCAGGTTGAGGGCTTCTTTATAGACACATTTTCTACACTATATTTAATACTTTTTTGAGCTCTGTAGTGTTATTTAACCAGCAACCTACTCACTTAAGTTTTTTGATTTGAACATTGTGTTTTCAAAAAGTTGGGATGCCCTGGTCTAACCATACTTGAAATCTCTCTGCAGTCAAATCCTGCCCTGTTTGGGGAGAAATTACTTTCTAGACTTGGCCAGACTTCTCTGAGACTGTGGACATCTGCTCTCATTCTGTCTTCCTGCATTTATGCATCCATGCTATATTCTGGCTATTGCTTGACTTTATCTCAGTCATCCACAGACTCAGTAGAGGGAGAGGAGGTAGCATAAATCACCCTAAACTAGCCTGGAAGGAGGGAGGACCTGCCCAGCAAGTGGAGTTTTCATCTTCCCATGATCCGAGATTTGAAATCTTGAGGGCCTCCACTGACCTTTTATGAACTCAAAAATATTTCTGCTCAGGGATGAACACTTTGCTGATGTTTTTGAATAAAGTCTTGTATTATTATGTAGCACGTGCACTGGCAGGTGGCTTTGTGTCTTTTTTGTTGGGGTGGTGGCAGGTCGGGGGGGGGGTTCTACTTTGAAATAATTCTACAAAGATTTACTTCCAAGAAGAAAAAAAATACTGTCTCCCTTCTCCATTATGTGCAATGGTGCCATTTGGAAGCTAGAGTTTGGAGGCCAGGGATTCTTTGGTGATGATGTAAGCCTTGGTAGTGAAGACCAAGCAGGTGATGGGTACAAAGTTTGAAGCTCAATTATTGAGGCTGAACCTGAGCGTCAGAGACCTTAGATGGAGATTTTGAAAATTCCTGAATAATTGCTAATCTTGCTTGAATCTCATGGAGGTAGCTATGCCATTGTGCCTTGCAATCATGACCACCAGAGGGAGCCATGGGTACTTCTTCTGTCTGCCCACCTATGCCACTCTAAGTCCTGATTTTCTTCTTTTATCCTTCTGGGGGAGCCAGATAGGGCCTGGAGGAAGAGAAGAGGCCTTTCAAGGTCAGGGCAAGAAACAGCATTTCTTCATCATAAAGTAGTCCCTCCTTTATTGGCATTGTTCAGGTCACATGTGTAGGTCTTATTTTTCAGTGACTTAGAAAACAACATTTTAAAATAGATTTTCCTAATATTGCAAAACATAAAATGCCTTTCTGCCTGTCTGCCTTTCTTTCTTTCTTTCTCTTTCTCTCTCCTTCCTTCCTTCTTTTCTTTCTTTCTTTCTTTCCTTCTCTCTTCTCTCTTCCTTCCTTCCTTCCTTCCTTCTTTCCTTCCTTCCTTCCTTCCCCTTCCTTCCTTTCTTCCTTACATTTACTTTGCTATATCTAGGATTACAGTAAATGTCCAAATTGATTTGCTTGGACCAGGAATTTTCAGAACACTCCTGCTTTGTAAGCACAAGAGTTACAAAGATGTCCTGGAACCCATTGGTTTAGCCTTGGCTCTCCTTGTGTGGTGAAGGCCAATATCAAGCTTCAGGCATATATACCAAGGTCAGTGATAAAAGTTTGGATAATTACATTGGTTCCTGAATATAATGGACATTTAGAGCTATGAGGATCCATAAAGACTGAATTATTTGTTTCTTTCCCCCCTTTAAAAATAAGACTGAAAAACAGCCACTGTGTTGGGTTAAATCCTTCTCTTTTAATATAATTCTGTTAGTTTCTTTGAACAGAGTGATACCACTTGAGCCACACCTCCACTTTCAGCTTTTTGGTGGTTAACTGGAGATAGGGGTTTCCTGGACTTTCTTGCCTGGATTGGCCTTGAACCATAGTCCTCAGATCTCAGCCTCTGAAGTAGTTAGGATTATACCTATAAGCCATTAGTGCCTAGAGAGAGACCATTCTGGGAAACATGAAGACTTAGACTAGGACAACAAGCTTTCTCCTCTAAGGAGGGGTTGCAAGCTGATAAGCTTGATGATCCCTTGGACTTGCTTTTTACAGATGCAGCCTTCAGGGGTCTTTGAGTCTCTCACTCATCACAAGAGCACATACCGAGGAGGACCAGACTCTCTTGAGCATGATTCTATTTCTTTGTGTCAGGACCTCTGAGATGGGCACATTGCCACAGTCTTGCAGATGAGAACATTAAGGTGTGGAGGAGGAGGGAGAGGAAAAGCAAGTTGCCCTGGATTTGATGTTGAATCCGAGGTAAAGTTCAGCAAGGCCGGGGTCTGCTGGCTCCAGAGCTCCCCTTCTTGATTACAAAAGCCAAGATCATACTCTAGGCCAAGAGAACAAGCATGTGTGGAGTGTGTCCTTTGCTAGTGCCATTTCTACCCAGCAACCTAATTACAGGTGGACTCAGTAAACCTCTGTCTCCTGCCAGAGCCCTGGCCTATTATAGTATCCTACCTTCTCAATACCTGGGCCAGTAATGCACATCTGCAGTGAGGGGGAGGTGGACACAAGAAGTTGGCTTCACTTGACTAGGTAATTCACACCACACTTTTCTTTTGGAGAAGATCTGGCTCTACAATGATTTCTTTTTCTATCATCTCTTTTTCTCTTAGGGACTTTGTGTTGGCTGTCTTTGGCTTTCAGGCTGTTGAAAGAATATTTTTATTATAGTCCATCTATGTACCTTAGTTAATTTGTACCATTTGAGAAGGAGAAGTTTTATTTTAATGTAAAAAGTATGATGAGGTTGACTGCCAAAAGTAGAATATTTGATGAATTCAAGGGAAAGAAAAAGATGTGATAGAAAAATAATGCTGGGATTTAGGAGGCTGGGATTTGAATAGTACTTGCTGCTCTGTCTTGCCTTACCTTTGTACTAGTTTAAAAAAATAATCAAGCTGGGCACCAGTGTCTTATGCCTATAAACCTAGCTACTCAGGAGATCTGAGGCTCCAGGCTTGAAGCTAGCCTGGGCAAAAAAGTGTGAGACTCTTATCTCCAATTAATCTCAGAAAAACTGGAAGTGGTGCTCTGGCTCAAGTGGTAGAATGCTAGCCTTGAGCAAGAAAAAAAAAGGAGCTCAGGGACAGCACCCAGGCCCAGAGTTCAAGCCCCGTGACTGGCTACAAACATTAATCAATAAATCAGAAACCTTAGATATATAGAGAATACAGTATCCTCTTTATTACTGAGAATGTGTGTCACAACAATAGCAAGTGGGGTTCTTAATGCTGGCCTTCGGGATCAGGCTGGGACACCCACAGACAGAAGTCATGGGCAGTGCTGGCCTGGGGCAGGACCATCCACTCCAGGTTGAGCTGATCCACAGAGAGCCTTATGCAGGGTGCATGGAAGAAGCTGAGGAGAGGCTAGGCTACTTCTGTCTCAGTGTCCTTCCAAATTCTTCAGTCAGATGAGTCACATGTTCATGAGACGGGAGAAAGGAAGGACAGGATGTCATCAAGAGTATGACCCTCACTAAAGGAAGTGGAGAAGACTTCAGGAGGAGAGAAGAAACAGTTTCTTAAAAATAGGAAGAAGAATGGAATGCCTTTGTTCTGTTTTGTTTCATTTTTGCTTTTTTTTGCCAGTCATAGGGCTTACACTCAGGGCCTGGGCACTGTTCCTGAGCTTCATTTGCTCAAGGCTAGCACTACCACTTGAGCCACAGAACCACTTCTGGGTTTTTCTGTTTCTGTGGTGCTGAGGAATCGAACCCAGGGCTTCATGCATGTCAGGTAAGGACCCTACCACTAGGCCATCTTCCCAGCCCCTGTTCTCTCTGTTTTGGAATGAATCTTATATTTGTCTTTAGCATCTTATAAATATGTTCACAGATATGTAACTTAACTTGCTGTTGCTCTCTTTACCTTTCTAGATTCTTGACTATCAGAATACTACCTTCTTTGGTGGAGACCGTATAACCATGATTGATTACCTCTTCTGGCCCTGGTTTGAGCGGCTGGATGTCTATGGGATTGCTGAGTAAGACATTTGACCATGTGGTTATTGACTAGTTTGAGTGACAATGATTGAAGTATCTTCTGTGCCATGAAACCCTAGTGTGTACATGATCCAGAATGTATGGGAAAGAAAATTAGGCCTTAAGCCATGTATTAATGCTTCTTTGTTCAAAATACCCATCAAGTTGAATGTTGGTGGCTCACAACTGTAATTCCAGCTACTCCAGAGGCTGAGATCTGAGAATCAGAGTTCAAAGTCAGCCCAGGCATTAAAGTCCCAGAGACACTTAATCTCCAACTAATCACCAGAAAACCAAAAGTGGGGCTGTGTGTGGCTCCAAGTGGTAAAGTACTAGCCTGGAGCAAAAGTACTAGCCTGGAGCAAAAGAGCTCAGGGACAGTGCCCAGGCCCTGAGATTAAGCCTACAACTGAAAAAAAAAAAGATTTTGAAATTAATATATGCTTACTGTTCACAATGGCAGCCACCCCTCATGGCGGGGCAGGGACATTTAGATCAGGACACCATAGTGCTCAGGAGACTCGCTGGATGTGTGCTGTGGCCTTTCTAATCCCCACTGTACCCATGGCAGGGGAAGCACAATCCCAGTGTTTGGAAGTTAGTTCTGAAGATCAGACACCACTTACTAGGACATCTACACTCACTACAAAAACTCTACTTCCCGATGTACACCCTGAATTCTAGATTAAGAATCCCCATCATCTGCTCCAGATTCCTACCTGCCACCAGCGGTCACCTGCAGCCCTTACACCTGAAGTCCCTGATCCAACTGTGGATCTTCAGCTCCACTACTCCAAACCTCAATATTGCTTTATCCATTAAAACACACACACACACACACACACAGCTTGGAAACAACTTGTTTTTAATCTGTCTCAGATTATAAGTATAATCCCCAAATGACCAGTACTGTTAGCTTTCTGCTAGTAAATAAGGAAGGGCAGATTATCTAATGGCCCGAGCCTCAGATAACACATATTTAATGCTTGAAATACCAGTGACTACAATTTACACATACATACAGCTGTTCCCCAAATAAGTTTCCTCCAGTGAAGTCATGCTCACTTGGTAACTAAGATCACTATATTTCTCCCGGATAAACTCATTTTGAGTTTCCTGCAAATCTAAAAGGCAGTCAGTATCTGGTTCCATATCCTTTCTTTCATGATATGCTGACGTCTCTGTCTTGTCTTGCAGCTGTGTGAATCACACCCCGTCCCTACGGCTCTGGATAGCCGCCATGAAGCAGGACCCCATCGTTTGTGCTCTACTCGTGGACAAGAACACCTTCCTGGGCTTCTTGAATCTCTATTTCCAAAACAACCATAATGCCTTTGATTTTGGGCTAATATGAGCCTCATAATCCTCTCTCCCTCCCCACCCCAACCGCATCCCAAATTTTCAGCTTGTCATGATTCTGCATCAAGTTATTTGAGGGGTCAGTCTGCCTCTCCTCTGTTTCTTTGAGGTTCTAAATAAAAATGGAAACAGAAAATAGATTGGTAACCCCTTGCCCGACTCTTATACCCCAGAGCTTCTAGAAAGTGCCCAGTGCTAAAGTCCAAAAGCATTTTGAGAGCTTGGGCCTCCTTGGCCTGTGGCCAGATTTGGTCCTCAGATTATTCCTGATGGCAGTGGTGTTGGGGTTTGAGGTCTGCCTGTAAGAGATGTTTGTCGGGGCTGGGAAGGTGGCTCAGTGGTAGAGTGCTTGCCTTGCATGCCTGAGGCCCTGGGTTTGATTCCTCAGCACCACATAAGAAAAAAGAAAAAAGCCGGAAGTGGCAGTGTGGCTCAAGTGGTAGAGCGTTAGCTTTGAGCTGAAGAGCTGAGGGACAGCGCCCAGGCCCAGAGTTCAGGCCCCACGACGGGACCCAAAGAAGAAAAAAAAAGACAGATGTTTGTCACTCTAGATCAGCACCCTCCCAAACAGTCCCTGGTAAGAGGAAAGCTTGGAGGAGGGAGAAGAAAATAGAAACACCCCAAGCCCAGATACCTTCCTTTTGGCAAAGCAGTGCTGCTGCCCACTTGGGGAGGCCTGAGCGTCATTGCATTGCAAGCCTTGGCCAGGCGCCCAGGCGACCCTGAGGGTCTTGTGACTGGAAAGAATTCCAAAGCAGGAAATGAAACACCCATTTATCATCCTGGACTAACTACGTCAGAGTTTCACTGGTGCTGTCAGGGCTCGGGATATCTCACAAAATGTTCTACAGCCAGCATCCTGCCTTTACACACACACACACACAGCAAGTCACTATCAAAGGTCACTCTGCTGGATTGGCGTCATGCATCCTTTTAATTCATCTGGGTGGACTGTTGTAAAGCAAGCCCCAAGCCAATGGGAGATACAAGAACTATGTGCCACAGAAGCCACTCATCTTTTGAGCATCTTGGTTTAGGTTTTAGACCTGGTGGTTCAGGGCTTGTCTTGCTAGGCTCGGGGTCTGTGCTGTCCTTCAGCTCGCACAGCAGGCCGTGCTGCATCACCAGTGGGCATGAAGACAACCAAGAGCCGAGCGTGGCCAGTGAACCAGCAAGTTGCCGTCGCCTCTCTTAGAGACTTTCCCATGCTCTTTTATCTCAGTGACTCAGGACCAGCCTGTGATCCAGTGCCGAGCATCCAGACAGCAGCAGAGTATGATGTTTTGGTTTTTGTTTTTGACCTGTCCATGCCCACTGAAGAACTGCCTGCTGCCGCCTCTGCCTTGGCCTTAGTTCAAACCACACTTCCTTTCTCTGCACATGTCAGCCTGGCCCTGCCATCTGCTGGCTCTGGGTATATTTTGCCCCATATAAATAGTTACCAGGTGTTACTCTCTGCCAGTTGGACAGAGGCATGCCTCCTTGGTGAGGTGGTCTGGCCTGGGGGAAGTGCTATGTGATGGACAGTCTGCAGTACCATCTGCTCCCTCCGGATGTGGCGCTCTGCTGCCATGGCAACAATGCAGAGTGGAGTGTGTGAATCAGCGTTCCCCTGGGAGCCGGGCTGGGCAGAAGGGAGTCATCTCCCTCGACCTCTCCTGGGGCTGAGGGTCAGATCAGCCCTTGCAGGCAAAAGCCTTGCCTTCTAGCCAGGCTTTGCTAGTAAATCCGCCCTGCCGTCGCTGCGCTAGAAAATGGCATATCTCACAAATGAAGGTATTTTATTTTAGAGCTGAGGAAACGGAGTTGTCTTCTACTCTGGTTGAAAGCAGGACTCAGCCTGCTAGGAAAGAAAAATGATGAAAAACTTACACTGGAGATCTAAGAGTAGAGATAATACATACAGGTTAAAAAATACAATAGTGGGGGAGGGGGAGCAGGAAAGATATGATCTTGTATCACATATATATATGTACTGTGTGTACTCATACTAGGGCTTGAACTCAGAGCCTTGATGGTCCTTTAGCTTTATTTTTTTATTTTTTGGGGTCCGGTCGTGGGCCTGAACTCTGGGCCTGGGCGCTGTCCCTCAGCTCTTCAGCTCAAGGCTAGCACTCTACCACTTGAGCCACAGCGCCACTTCCGGCTTTTTTTTTTTGTGCTTATGTGGTGCTGAGGAATCGAACCCAGGGTCTCATGCATGCAAGGCAAGCGTTCTACCACTGAGCCACCTTCCCAGCCCGGTCCTTTAGCTTTTATGCTTATGGCTGATGTAATACTTGTCATAGCTCCACTTCCTGCTTTTCAATCTATCATTGGGTGTATTTCTTGTAAGTAGATTTTGTTTTTTTAGGCCAGGATTTCAAGTGAGAGCTGTGTCTACTGAGGCCTGGAAAAGAAGACACAAGTTGAAATCACAGCATTTGAAAGACCTCACTGTACAGATGATGTGAACATCAGAACGGGCTGGAGGAGGCCAGGTACTGTTCCCTTCCTTAGAGGTTTTGGAGTAAATCCCAGTCTGGACTGTTGCCAGGTTACATCCTCACAGAACTCGGGTCGGGGAGAGGGGACTACAATGACTGGAATTAGTGGTAGTGGGATGGTGACTAAATGTTACTTGAAATTCCTTCCAGCTTGCAACTTCTGGTGTCAGCCAACAGAAGCAGTTGCAGGTGGTAAAGTGGGTTCATCTAATGGTAAGGCATGAGTTGGAGCATCCAAGAAGAGACTGCCTGTATGTGGCTCTCTCTCTTGATTTCTTACCTTTAAGCCTCTTCTTTCTACCTTGCCCATGTGTCCTTTGTCAAAGTTACTGGTATATGATAGAGTGGGACTGCTCTGTCAGGAATCAACCCTGAGCTGGGTGGCTCAGGCCTGTAATCCTAACTACTCAGGAGGCTGAGATCTGAGGATTGAGGTTCAAAGCCAGCCTGGATAGGAAAGTCTGTGAAACTCTGATCTCTAATTAACCACCAGAAAATTGGAAGTGGCGCTGTGGCCTAAGTGGTAGAGCACTTGCCTTGAGCTGAAATGCTCAGGGACAGCACCCAGGCCCAGAGTTTAAGCCCCACAACCGACAAAAAAAAAATTACCCCTGGTCCCTTGTAGTTTGTATCAATCTAGTGTTTGTTATCTGAAGTCTTCATAGGCAGCCAAGCAATATAACCTTTATCTCCTCCCTCCCCACACTAAGCACTGTGCCCGCCCAGGAGACCCACCTCCAGCTCTGCTTCACTCCTGACTCCACAGCACTGGGAGTCCATCCTGTAACCAAATGTTGAGTCTTCTCAAACATTTAGATTAGGTCCAGCTTGTTGGAGCTCTTGCATCTCTACAAACACCATTTCCAACATGTGTTCATCTCCTCTGGAGCAGCCGCCTAGCTTTTGTCAAAATGCTTTGTTTTACTTGCAGCTCCAAATAGATCTTCACCATAGTAGTGAAGAACAAGACCGAGGGATGAGACATTCTGGGTTCAAATCCTGCCTCTGCCACTCAAGTAACTTCCCTGGGCAAGCAATATTACCACTATGGGCCTCAGTTTCTCATATGTAACTGTGACTATCTTAACTGGAGCTGCTGAAAATGATTCCACAGGGTTGTTAAAGAATGACCAGGTCATCCTGTTGGCCTTAATACTTGAGTGCATGCTCAGCACATGACAACATCAGCATGGTAGGCAATGATGATCAGTTATCAATGATTAGTGATTGTTGTGCAGGCTGTTAATGAATGATCCAACTTGAACTCGGTGTCCATGCTCCCATCACCTTGCAGAACGAGATGACTCCAATTTCACTGGCTTCATTCATGGTTTGGGCTGTTTTCTGATTGTTTCAGATGTTTGGATTTAACCTCAATCATCTATGTGGCTTCAGAAGCTAGAATTATCCACATGCCTCAACCACCACCTCTCACTCTAAAGCCTAGTTTACTACTGAAATTCTGAAGCCTGGTTGATGATAAATTACTCTCTCCCACGTTACAAAGGAGTGTTCAGGATCTTCTTCCTCCACCTCCGCTGAACAGAGGAAATGACTCAAGGGCACTTGTCCATGCACAATTAAGGAAGCCTTTATTCAGGACCATCCTGATAGGTACAGAGATTACAGCAGTGAGATTTTGCAGTCGGGGAAAAGATTGGACTCAATGCCTGCATAACCTGGGCAAGTAGGAAATTTAAGGCCTAGAAGTAGATCTGGGTGGTGGGGGTTAGTGGGTGACAGATATTAAGAGGGATAGGGGAGGAATTACACTGATCATGAATAGGAACTGTGGGATACTCTGTTATTTCCTCCCACAAATCCACCCTGACCATGAATCCTCTTAGACCAGGGTTCTTAGCCCACTTGTGCCCTGGCACACAGCCTCCCTCTCAGAAGGCACTATTGTTAGTTCCCTACCATAGGAATAAGCAGTGAAGAACTATTTCTAGGACTGTCCTGGGGATGAGGAGATCAAAGCAGCAGATCAGAGGTCACCTTAGTGAGAGTAATGCTCCCAGGGCAACACCTTGCCTCCTTCTCAACCCCACCTGACTTGACTGGGGCATGAAGAGGAAGAACTGCTAAGAGGTAACACCCTTTGCTAAATCTGGGTTTAAAACCCAGATGTGCTCAGGGGCATGGAAATCTGTGTGTCCGTGTATGTACACACAGGTGCTTGCACGTTTCTGTGTAATTTTGCCATAAAAGGCAGGTCAATGGCCACTTATTTGCTAAACAGAAGGGCCTTCATTGGGGGCTTCAGTAGAGATTCTGTCCCAGAAAGCCTGAAGACAGCAGGGAGGTAGAAAATGGTGGTGGATCCAGGGATATATCCTCCTCCAGTGAGGCCCTAGCGCAGAGTAGGGGTCTGGTCTAACTGGAGAGATAGGGGACCCGTTCTGCTTGGGCTGAAGTTGGGGGGAGGCAAGAAAAGAGGTAGACATGTGGGAGGGGCTGTAGAGCACTGCTGACACCCCTGGGGGAGCCAGAAAGTAGGAATGGAGGAATCAGGAACTGTCCTCAAAGTGACGGCTGCTGATTGGGTGGCTGTTGAGCTGTGCATAGCACACGCCTTTCCCTTAATCTTCTTAGTAGCAGCATAACCCGGGCCTTACAGTCGAGGAAACAGAGGCCTACAGAAATGCTTGAGAATTGCTGTACTGGGATGGTACATGGCTGGGTTTGAACAGAGTCCCAGCTATTAGTAAATAGGGTGTTGGTGCCTATGTGGAGCCTGTCTCACTGGGAGACCAGGGT